CCTCGTTTTTCTCTACTTCGCTGAATATGATTTTGCTCTTAAAGTGCTTTGACAGCTTTGTAATGGAGAAAACAAAGCCTTTGACCTAGTCTGGCACTGGGAAAAAAAGAAGAAATCCTGGGAAGCCTTGACACAAAAATTGCACTGTGCTGTTTGATCATTACTGACACTGCCCCTACTGTGTCTCTCCTCCCTCTTCAGTACAGTCAGGTTCACAGAGACTCAGAAAATACAGGTGCATGAAGAAAAGAACTCGTATGCCCCTTAGAAAAATACTACTTTGCAGCCTTAAAGGGCCGGCTGTCATGAAAATTGACTCTTATGTGCTTTGACATGGAAATCCTTTTCTTAAACAGATAGAAATGTATTATACCTTTGGAAAGGATACTGTGCCTGGTAAAAATATTCATATATCCTCAGCTTTGTATATTTCACTATATAACCACAAATTTTAACTTATTTGATCGCCTTTTTATGTGGCGTATTAAACAAAGTAGTGCAAAAATTTTAAAGCAGATTCAAAAAAACGTTAATTAATTTAGGCTGAAAGTTTGAGGTTGGGCAATAAAATAATGTGAAAGCTTTGAACATTTCACAGATCATTGTTTAGTCCATAATCTGCAAATAGAAATCATTTTTAAAACTACAAAAAAGGGGGGGTGGGGGGGGCATTTTAATTAATCTAATAGGCAGAGATGGTGAGGAGTGTTAGCCAGATGTAAAGAGGCCAATGCTAACACTGACGGGGCTACACCATCGCATCTCTGAGGGAGGATCTGTTCACAATGCAGTCCAGTTTGGTTATATAGCATTTTAAAAGCAACAACACCAAAGTGCTGCACAGATGCAGAAATAATAATAACACAATTAAATGCTCTGAAAATTAGTAAAAACATTTTAAGTCAAATAAAGAGAAAACAAAAAAATCAACACAACATCCTTTTGATTGTTAAAAGGCAAAAAGAAAAGATGAGATTTTAAAAGTTATTTAAAGACAGTCAAAGTGTAAGCCTGCCAGGGTTTGGCTTCAGAGAAGACCCACTCCCCTCTCAGCGTACAACTCGCTCTAGTTACTGACAGGAGTAACTGATCAGCTGACCTTAGAGAACTAATGGGACATTAGGTAGATATTACCTGGGGCAGTGCCATTTAAAGACCATTTAATAAATCATTCATGAATGAATTCTAATAATTAACTGGGACAGAAAAATATTTTTTTTCCAGAGTTCTGGCTTTTAGGAAAGAATTTCAAGATTAAATAGTTGAAAGAAACTTACTGTACAATAAATCATGTTTCCAATTTGCAAAAAGCCAGTGAGAAGAGGTCAAGTACGTTACAGAAGGAGTTTAGGTCAGAAAAAACCAAAATGCTATTTATATACTAACATGCTAATGGACTACGATTAGCTGAAAACAAACTACACATCACCCTAAACACTGGGAAACACAGATGAGATGAATGGATATGCAGATGCATTTTTAACACTTAAAACGCTGTGGTTTTAGTCCCTTCTGCTTCCCTGTATGCTGCTCTGAGTTAGCCTCAAAATAATAAATATTTTGAAAATATGAAGAACTAAAAATACTACTGTCATAAATACTACTGCAAAGGTCCTATAGTTACAAAACTAGCTGTTTTGACACCGAATAGTCTTTTTGTGAAAACAGTTTGTTTTATTAGTGCCTTTGCAAACAAACTGTGATTTATTTGCTCCGAAAACCTCGTTCTGGGAATTTCCTGACCCTCTTCGTCTTTCTTTGCGCTCTAATCTTTCTTCCTTTCTGTGTAAACTCCTGAGGAAGCTCTGAGTTTGTGTGCTGCAGGCTCGAGGATGGGGGGTTGGGGAGGAGCTAGAGTGGGAGCGGGAGCTGAGGACAGTTCCCCGGAGTCTGGACACCAAGGCCCCCGGGCCTCCGCAGCTCATAAACAGATGTGTCCTTGTCCCCAGCCAAGCGCAGCCACTCATGGCAAAGCAGGGGCCCAATAATTGTGAAGAATTGAAAGCTAAATATTGGCTTTATCTCCTCAGTAATAAAAGGGCCATGAAATTGATTTAATGCTGCAGCGCTTCTCTTGGGTGGCTTCTTACAGCGTGAGCGCAAAACAATGAGCAGCAGCCATCTATTAATTAACCCACCTAATCCTGCAAAGTTAATCTCTCACCACAACTTTGCCCGCAACTAACTTCCGAGCCACTGGGTCTATTGGGGGTGTCATGACAATGGCGGAGAGGAGAAGATAGATTCAGCACTTAGGAAAAAGGAGGATGGGGGGGTGAGCAGCTCTGCAGAGCAACCTTGGGGGATGCTGTTGTTCAAATGTGAGGTGCATGGCCAACATTAGTAGAGTAACAGTGTTAATTTGTTGATTTTCCTTCTTATTTGCTAAAAAAAAAAAGATAAAATGCATCATTTGAGCTGAGAAAACTGGATTCAGGAACAGTAGCACAAAGATAGTTGATTTCAGTCGCTGTTGTTCCGTTGGCTTTTGTTGGCACGGTTTCTGCCGTCAACAGTCTCATATTCTTTCCTGAGCTGTTAGACAGTCGGTAGGGGAAGTGGCGTCCCTTTCTCTTCTTCACCTGCCGGCCGGGCGCAGCACGAAGGCGCCTCACACCCAACACGCGCGCTTGCGGCCACATTGTGTCGACCGAGTTGTGAATTACCTCCTTCTCGGCCGGCTGATGAAAAGCTACGTGTTTTTCTCTCTTCGACTGCGCCTCATCTGACCCTGCCCTTTCACCTCACCGCCCCAACCCCCCTCGTCATCTCATTGGTCTTCTCCTCTTCGAACAAAGCAGGCTCAGAAAATAGGTCACCTGCTGCTGCTCCTCTCACCTCCTCAGCATTTGGAAAAATACATCCTTGAAGGTGTCTTGTACTCCTTTTTTTCTTTTTCTTTAAACGACCGCAATCTTCACCCAGAGAAGCAGAAATCCCACATTTAGCTATAGAAAAAACATGTAGAGAAACTAACCGCGGGAATTTGGAGATCATATTTTTGCGAGTGAGGAAAGAAGCTCCTGTGGAGATAATTTTAGGAGGCTGTTTAGGCATAGACGGTGTTGAGCCCAGAGTGAGGAATCTCATCACCACTGCTAATGACATGCCATTCCTGTGCTGAGCGAGGAGCGCGAGCGAGCCCTGGGCATGGACTAGCCTCTCTCTCTGCCACCTCTAGCAGTTGTGTTCATTAGGGCCAGCGTTGTAATTACAATTCACAGATCCTGCTTCGGCTTAATTACACTCTGATTATTGGGCTGATATTTGTTGAAATTATCAGACCCTTAGAAAGTGGATTTATATTTGCGAGAAATTAAATCTTATTTCATAAGTGTGTCTTAAACCGACAATTTGAACTGATTTGTAAACGTGCATACAAATATGCTTTAAAGCCTGGGAGTACCTAAGAAAATGAGTTCACAGTTTTAACATAAGCTAACAGATGCGTATCTCCCCTGAGTGACAGATCCTCCTACTGATGCCTCTGTGTGATTGTGGGAAGTTATTTTCTTGTATCTTCCACCTGAATAGCCCCGACAAACAGAAAAAAAAAATGTGGAATGCATTATGCTGGATTATTCTGCTTCTATTCAAAGTCACCGTAATTGGGAACCACATTCACAAATAAGCCCTGGAGGTGGGGCTATTATCTACGTGTCTGTGTGCAGCTTAGATGTGTCTATAGTATTTTATCAGGTCATTGTGGTAAAGGCAGCTTTAGAGTGAATTTCCTTTGAAAATACAATCTGTGGCTGAAGTTATTTTGCTCAGTTTTCTGCCATAGAATCTAAATGTTCCCCTTTTTTTAGGAGGAACCTCACTTGATCTAAAGGATAGGAAGATAATACAAGGATTTATTAAACTGTGATCGAGGTTTTACCATATTACAGGTTCCTATTGTTTTTACTTTCTGTTGGATTGTAAGAAATACATTTTAAAATATCCTGCATAGATGCAGGTATTATGAATTTTTTTGATGAGAAAAAGAAAGCTTTTCAAACCAACCTTTATGTTTTCAACTCTTCAATCAGATTTAATTTTGGATATTGAAAAGACATTTCCAAAGCATATATTTTATTTTTTATGAGCCTTCCAGGGGCAGACTTGCTGCTATGCTTTGGATCAAAGTGCCTTTGAGTTCGAGGTGAGGAGGAGATGGCCGATCCGATTCCTTTAGGATGTTTTGCAACAGAGCAGAATTCGTAGTTCTGTCAATTAGGGCAATTCTTCCAGGCCATAAAGCCAGCAATGCAGCCCTGATCATCACACTACCACCACTATGTTTTCATCAGATGTGAAAAGAAGCACACCTTCAGTAGCACTTCATACTTTTTATTCTCTAAAATTATTGTAGTTTATGAACGCATACTTCTTTAAAAAGTGAAAAAAGCAAGACGCTCTCTGCCTAATCTCTTATTATTGAAATGATAAAACCTTCGGTACTTTGGATAATTTCAGACATAAACAAATGTTAAGTCTTTAGCCTACTTTGTGTTGCCAAATCATATGACAAATATTACAAAAATTTCAGTTGATTAATTCCTTAATGCCACTCTTAACCAGAGCCATGGTTAACTAAGATAACTTTCTTATCTTAATAACTTATATCTTCATATAAAAGCTGCTGGATATCTTTAAGTACAAGTGAAAAAAAAAATTGAAATCTAAAGTGAGTCACCTACTTCTTCACCTCACCCGGTGTAGGATTTTTTCTCTTTTTTCTCCCAGCTCTGAAGAGTGCCAGAACCCCACCAGAATAGGTGATCCATTAAAAATCCCTCATGTTTTAACACACACACCAGGGATCTGACTGCCACAGTGGACTCTGTGGGTGTCTGCTGGTAGATGTTGCTCTGACATGAACCCTCGGCTCTGACGGCTATAGCTTGATCCTACGGCTCAGCATCGGTATCAGCGTCGTCCTGTCGCTCTGGGACGCGCTCATCCATTTGCAGGAAGTGATGGGTGTGTGTATATGTGTGTGTATGTGCCTGCAGGCTTCCCAGCGACGGCATATGGACCGGTGGCGGCGGCGGCGGTAGCAGCAGCGCGTGGCTCAGGTAGGGGGGCCCGTGGAAGAGGCGGCTACTTGGCGTACCCACAGAGCACAGGGCCAGGTAAACGCTCTGTCCATGTTCTGTGTGGCTGCTGCTCTCTTCAACTTCTCCTGCTCTGCTTCTCCCCATAGTCCTCTAAAACATTAACACCAATAGAAATGCCATAGAGTGTAGACTAATAAATAATCTGCCATGTACATTAAACAATGCAATTTGCTTAAAATAATAAGCTGCAGTTTAATTTGGGTTCGAAAAAGAAATCAGCCACAGAAGAGAAACTCTTGTACTAAATGATAATTAGCTTTATAAAAGAAATAGATGTTTCATTACAAACTGACTGGATTGATAAAGATATAAGCATAACTTAAAAAAAATATTAATGAAGAGTATTATCTAAAGTATTTATAACTCATTTTTAAATAGGCTTTGGATGTATAAATTTTAAGACAAACGTACAATCTTAATGACTTCCTTTACAAGATTAAAAGGTCGATTAGTTTTTATCATTTGGTATCATTTTATCATTTAATTTCCCATGCTCTCCAGGAAAACCGACTGAGTCATAATTAATCATCATATTGAACATTGTTTCCCTGTATTGTTGGATTGTCTCCATATAAAGTAGTTGTCAGTTGAGCTTTCTTCTTTTTTTTACTCTCCTCTTTATGATGCTTTTCTTTCATTTCTATCAGATGTATTCTTAGTCAGTGTGGCTAAAAGCAGAATCGCTTACATGTTCTTCAGCTTTTCAGGAATAATTTTCCCATTCTGTCACATTCCAACCACAAACACATTTCTTTTGTTTGACTTTAATGCAATAGACTAACAAAATAATCCTTAATGCCAAAGTAAGGGAAAATGGATGCATGGTTTGCAGCAATCTCTACAAATAGAAGTCAGAGCTGAAAAGTGTGGTGTGCATTTACATTCAGTCCCCTCTTTTCACTACATTACAGTTGCAACCCTATTGGGGTTATCACCAATATTTAATAGTTAAAGGTCCCTCACATATCAATTATGATCCTGCTTGATCATTATTTAACCCTTTAAAGCCCGATCCAAGAATAAAACAAAACAGAAAATAACTTTTTTTTGGTTTGAAGTCCCTATTTGGCCTTTTAACAAAATATTCAAAAAGAAAAAACAGAAATACATTTTTGATATTAATAATTTATTACTAATTGATAAGTCAAGATTATTTTTTGTGTAGTCTTCTGCCCTCTGTTATCAGGTTTATCTGATTGTGTACAATAGGATTTTGAGCAAAGTTTTTACCATTAAATTATGCAAAAGGTGTCCGACGCAAAACATTTCAGAAACTGTATGTATCAAATATGATACATTTGGCATTACAGGGTTAATCTTTGCTTAAGTTTCCTTGTTGGATTTAGGTCTGGACTTTGACTAGGCCATTTTAACACATAGCTGTGCGTTGATTTAACCCCTTATATAACTTCTATTCTCTTCCTGGTATGAAGTGAACCTCCGCCTTGGTTTTAAGGCTTTTACAGTATTTTAACAGCTTTCCTTATTGAACGAGCCTGTATTTAGCTGTACTTTCACGTAGACTCTTCTAAGCCACAACCACCCTTGCTGAAGAAAAACACCGTTTGTGCTGCAGAAAGCTAATATCTGATACGTTTATAAACGTAAGGACATTTTAAAATGTTTAGAAAAAGTGCATTTAACTTAAGAAAATCTAATGCTACATTATGTAAATTATAGAGAGAAGAACAGAAACACGTAGTTATTACATTGAAGTGAACATTTATTTCATATTCTTATGAAGCATTCGGATTATACTGAATAAACATTCATTTACATTTTCAGACTATAGATGGCAAAACATAAAAACTTGTTTTGTCCCTCTGGCTGCTCCCATATTCATGGGCCGCCACAATAAGTCATTATAACTCGGCAACATTTTTACGCTGGATGGCCTTTCTGACGCAACCAGGATTCAGACCACGGTCACCCACTTTACAGTATAACTTAAACCAATTCAGCATGATACATGACGACAACCATATAAGCATTATAATTGATTTTTGCAAAATGAACTACTTTCGTAGTAAAACAGCGTTGTTTACTCAACGTTGGTTCACATGGCAAGATAATCCTATGAGATGTACCTGGTGTGTTATAAAGTTAATCTAGTAGTACAATGTTATTTAAGATTATCAGGGTAAATGGGGGTTAAAAGGTGGTTAATATGTTAATCTAATATTTCACATCTAAATAAAGCACACAGACTGAAATGTGTTGTTTGGAATGGAACAAAATGGGTAAAAGTTGAAAGAAAATAAATAGTCAAGAAGCTGTAATTACTTTCAAGTTGCTGATCGTCATTCTTTACTTCTATCTTCTTGGTTTAGAAGTCAGCACAGCTGAACTTTGGGTCCATTTCTATTCACTCCAGTAAAGCATATTGGCTGTAGACATCCTGTCATGACATACAGACAGCTTTCCGCAATGACACTGGTACCAAAAACAGGATGCTGGGTTTTTTTCCATCTTAAACAGCATTGATCAGAGTGTCTGCTTCATTTAGACATCCAGCTTTTCCCTGCCTTACAACTGTAGATCATTCAATAGCTGTCAATAATGGCTTCCCCTGACTGAACACACAGCCTCCTGTCTTTAGAAAGCGGCGTCTTCACTAATCAGCCATACCATTAGGAGCTTGCTGGAGAAAGTGTGTTTTAATTGTTACTCGCATCCTGTCTGGTTTGTGCAGTGGCTCACAAAATAAAAAATTAAAACAAGTCAGCAGGCAAACTGCTGTTTAACATCATGCGACGTGAAATGAACTCACTTAAACAGGGAGAGCAGCAGCATATGAAAACTACTCGCATGTTCACACGTGTGCAAATTCACACTCGTGTCTCACTTCGAATTTAATTCAAATCAACAAAGGGAACGCTGGAGGCCAATCAGATGCTATTTCTTTTGCATGGGGCTGTTTGATTTACCATTTTCAAAACAAACAATTTGGCCCAACAATCACAACGAGCATTACTAAGAAGCAGGAATGTTGATTTGGGGTTAGCAGCAGCCAGGAACCAGCCGACTTGATGGCAGCCATTATGCACAGTTTAATTCTGACAGCTGCAAATGGAAGGAAGACAAGTAAATGATTATGAACAGAGGCTGAGAGGTGGCGTGTTAGAGGGGAAACAGTGACATCATGGGCCTTTTTTAGAGTGCTTAAACAGTCAAAGGGAATATAAAGAAGGTTTTACTTGTAGACATGTCCAGCCTTTGTTGGAAAATGGTAAAGCTACCTTAAAAAACTGAAAATAGGATATAAAGAAACTGCAGAATGCAAGATCTAAATGATCCGTTATATCTGTTCTTCATTGTTCAAATAAGAAATTAGATTTATCTTTATGTCCTTGATATATTAGCCTTTTGGATTAGGCTAACAGCCCATGTGGAGTTCTCAACGCTCCACAGACACAATTCAGGAGGACACAGATTGTTTAGGCTTGACCTTCCTTCTTGTGTGTCGTCTGGGGATTCTGCTGCATCTCCATCCCATCTTCTGGTTTCATTTGCAGCAGTCAGCCCAGTGGCAGCTCAGGAATGGCAATTCTCCCGCTTTCATTTTTTGCTAAATTTTCTAATTTTTGGTGCAGAAAAGGTTTTTTTCTTCATTGTTGGTAGAAAAATAGGGTCTATTTACAAGTAGAGATTCTTTGTGCTTTGACTCCACCTACAGTTCCCGGAGTGCACCACAGGTTATATATGTATGTGTTTGTTTTCATTCAATCTGTAGGATAGAAGCAGAGCCTATGGGGTGTCAGCGTTAAGTCACAGGAAGGAACGTCTCGCTCAAAAGGATTACTGGGCAGATGCAAAACCATGGCAATGAACCTTTTTGTGTAAAGTTTTGTGCACAGCGGTGCTTGCAGGCACATTGTCAGTGATATGTGCAGATTGTTGTCGAAATATGGGAGACATTTTTCATCACTGGGAGAGGGCACTTCCACTCCACCTTTAATGCTCAACAGAAAAAAATGACAGCTGCTGACTTCCCTCTTTGTGACAGGCTACCGCTGATGACAAGCTGTATTTTAGATGCCTCACTGTGTCCTGCTTTCCCAAACACTGCAACAGAGGTGTAAAACAAGACAGGTTGCTCCTGCCCCATTTTCTATCAGATCCTGTTATTCACTTCTGCCTCTTTTACTACCTAATGTGCTTCTTGCATCATCTGTTTTAACATCATATCTGGATGGAGATGGACAAACAAAGCTGTCCAAAGTGGTAGTAAAATGATAGGTAGTTTTAAATTTAAAAGTTCAAAGGTGTTGATAAGTATATCATACGTCTATATAAAATATAGCCAAGAGAATTCAAGTATCAAATATTATTCTCCTGTTTAGATTAAACTCAGCATGAATCCAGTTGTTCTGCAAAGGCCTCATGTTGCTCAATAAACATTAGTTAACAAATGAAAACTTATAGAATCAAATTTGATCCATCTGCAGTCCTTCTCAGGCTTTTTAGGAGATATAGTAGGGATGTGGAAGAAGGTTTTCAGGTCAGACGCAGCCAAAATGGGACCTTTATCTAAAATACACTGGGAAAAAGATCTAAAAGTTAGTAAGACTTGCTTAAAATAAATGTATTTAGGCTTAATTTGAGTAGGGAAATACGATGATCTGCCAATAGAATGAGTATTTTACCCTTAAAATAGAATAATTATATATTATGCACATTAAATAAGAGACTGCTGTTGTTGTTTTTTTCTTATTTTAAATGTGATTATTCTGTTGGCAAATTGTCTTGTTTTCCTGCTCAATTCAAGGAAAAATACAGGAAATGTAAGAAAAATTGACCTACCTAGATTTAATTTTTTTTCAGATTACTATGAAACTAACACTGCATATAGAGTAGCTCTGAGTCTGAACCAATGGTGAAAAGTTACGGTGGCTGTATCATGCTGTGGGGTTTCATTTATTTGCCATAGAACGAATCAGCCAGTGCGAAATAGCAAAATAGGGAAAACAATAATTTATTTGATTATTCTTTACAAAGGTTTCGCATTCACATCC